TTTTCATGTTGTTATTTTTATGGCTTTGGTGGTTACAACATGTATTCTTAATTTATTCAGTCTATCTTGAATTGATGTTATACCACTCCCCATGTTATAGAATAACCTTAAAACAGTATAATTCACTTTACATCCTCCTTCCATCTTCTGTGGCATTTTCACACATTTTACTTCTCCATATGTTATAAATCCGAAAGTACATCCTTCTAATTTTTTATTTAAAGAGTCAATGGTCTTTTAAAAACTTTAAGAGAAGAGAATAGTATATTTAACCAAGTATTGATCATTTTCAGTTATCTTATTCCTTCTTGTAGGTCCCTTTCAATTTTATTTCTCTTCAGCTTAACAAACTTGCTTTAGCATGTCTTATATAGTTTACATCAGCTGGTGATGGATTATCTGAGGTTTTATTACTCTGAAATATTATTTGATTTTCTTAACAATATTTTTGCTTGATATAGAATTCTATTTTGACCGCCCTGTCACCCTACATCCACTTCTTTTAAAGAAGTTATTCTATTATCTTTTAGCTTCTATTGTTTCATTTGAGAATTCAGGCATCATTCTTATTGTTTCCCCCTTGTGAGTGATGGGTGTTGTTTTTCGTGCTGGCTCATTTTACAGTGTTCTCTTTATCTCTGTTTTTCAGTGGATTTTAATAAACTGCTGGGGTATGGTTTAATGAGTGTTGAATAAAGACATAAATATTTCTCTGTGTAACAATTCTTTTTGGTATAAATGATTTTTCTCTGTCTTTTCCCCCAATTTCCAAAATACAACTACTCTGATTTTAAAGTTTGAGCATTTTAAAAAATTTCTCTCATATTTGTTAATTAGCTCAGTGGCTTTATGACCCTTCTTGTGAACAGTTCAGTGTGTATTTATCCAAATGTAACAGCTTATTTCTAGTCTTACCTCTCCCCATCTTTTTCTTGACTTTTTTTAGCCTGTTTTATTTTCATTAATGTCTGTTTTTCAATAAAATTTATTTCCAAACTTACACTCTTCTCTTCCTCTGACTTCTCAAGCTTAAGTTCTAATTCAACCTCCCTTTTTTTTTTTTCTGTTCCTCCGAGTAGATCCTAATACTACAGGAACTTTGGCATAAAACTGATGGAAGAGAAATTACACACTTTGCCTCATAAGCATTATAGAAAATACATCCAGATTAGATGGTCTCTCTGACATCTGTCTTTCAGTTGAATATTTTCCCCATAATTTGTTTTCCTTATTAACGAGGCCTGGCATTTCTCCCGAACCTGAAGATTTTTCCTAGAAGAAAATAATATTAGAGACATTAAAGCGATCATTATGATTGCATTTATCCATTCTCCACATTTATTTTTATGGAAAAACTTTCTATAATTTTGTAAAAGAGAAAAAATGTAACTTAATGCTACTTACTCTCCATAAGTCATTCCAACCCCATCTTCTCTAAAATTCTCTAACAGTTTTACTTTGTGGACTTCTGCTAACTTTGCTCATGGTGGTGCATGTGGCTAAAGGAGGGGAAGAATGAAAAGATTTGCACTCCTATGAGTTTGAAACTGTGAAATGAGTTTGAAAGTGTGTTTTGACACAAAGGGCTTTGTGATAATTCATCTTAAGTGGGGATTTAATAAAGATCATCAAAGTCTCTACTAAGTGTTTTGGCTATAAAAGCATTAAGCTGAATATAGATACTGCTCACTAAGTGAATATATTGAAAATTCAGAAAGTTGGAGTAGTCTTTGAGTTAAAGGACAAAGTCATTTTGACATAATGTTACACTTTTCAATTAGTGACAAACATGTCAATGTTGTTTGTGTGAAAAGTAGCTATTTCATTCAAACCTTGACATTGGTAGTAGAATGTCCAAAATGCAGGTCACAAACTATAAAGTAAACTCACTGCTAGCAAGACTGAGCCAATAGATCATTGATCTTGTTTAATGGTTGGTGGAAAACTAATTTTTACATCAGCTCTGCTATTGTACAATTGTCCATTTTTGGAGTCCAATCCAGTAAAAATTTCTTATTTGGTATAACCTTCTTACACTGTGTAGCGTACATCTTAGATTGACTAATTCTAATTATTACTGTAGTCATTTGCTGTGTTGGTATGACTGCCACATTGTGAAGTCTCCCTCTTTAAAGGCTTTGTTTTCTTTGCCTATATCAAGACTGATCAGTTCTATCCACTCTATTTGCAAGCACAATGCCTTGATATGCAAGCACAAAGGTAGGGTGGTATTTGATTGATTACACCATCACCTGCTAACCATGTGTTATGCTTGACTAAGCTTCTAATTATTTGACTCTATTCAATATTGTGATGAGATACATAAAATGACACTGTTTTAGTAATCTCACCTTCTTTATAGGAGTTCTAATATATGAATAAACATGGAATGAAATATTTTGGTAATATGTAATAACTGAATTCTCTATATTTTCAATGAGAAGATAGTGGACATTTAAAAGAACAGACCCCATACTCCCAATTACGTGTAGTGTGTGTGCATGCATGTGTGTGTGTGTATTTAGTCTTACAGAATTTTGTGAAATAGTAGGTTGTTGATTTGCTTCTGACCTCTAAAATAATGTTTTAAAAAATCTTTTCTGTAAATAGACGAATTTGTGGATATATAATTTGTGTATGTGGAATTGCATGCTGCATTTATACCTCTTCTTTTCTCACTTACCTTTCCTCCAGACTTACTGATCTATTTTACTTGCTTGAACAAGTTTTTCATATTTGAGAAGCAGAATAGAAGTCTATCATTGTAGAATCTGGAGTCAGGCAGCCAGGAGTAATGTCCCAGCTCTGTCCACTTGATAGTTCTGTGACCTTGGATAAATCACATAGCCTCCCTTTCCATATCTGTAAAATAAGTTTGATATTAGTACCATTCCTCCTAGGGTTGAGTTTAATATTTCAATGTAAAATGGCATTGGGCATTAGCCATTATTATAAGTTAACTATTATTAACCTGTAACAATCACATGTAGTGGACTCCAGTTGAGTTGCTTTTTGAGTACCTCTTTCTCCTTACTTTGATAACAATCTCCTGAATTTCCTTTGGAGCCACTTCTCCATTATACATGGCTCTCATAGCATTATCAGTTGAGATGCCTTTCCTCCTCTAGGCAAAGGTGAATGAGTGACCAAGTCAGAACCTCTCTCCTAAGAGTCTGAACCTTGGGCAGTTACGCAAGGACAGATTTTGGAAGAACAGGTTGAAGGTAATATATACCATGAATTGTATTCCTAAGAGAATGTACTTTAGTCCTTGCCACTCAGATCCTCATAGTTGTCCTGTTATTGCATTTCCCTTTTAAGGGACTGTTTGTTCAGATTCTCCATTGTTTTTTTCCTAACCTTCATATCCTTCCAATATATTCCTCTTTCTCTTTACTTTAACCAAAGTTACTTTCTCTTCTTGTAATCGAAGGACCCTAACTGGGCCAATATTCTTCATAATATTCCACACTGTGTACCTTCTAATTATCCCTTTATTCATACTCTGCCCTTTCTTCAAGCTCTGATTTATGGTCTTTCCTCTTCAAGAAATCCCTGACAACCACAAGACTCCATGACCTCCTCCATTCTGAAGATTATTACTTTTTTTGTCTGCACCACTTACTCAAGTACTACATATTTCCCTGTATGATTAGTTTTCTTTGTATATATTGATCAATTTTTAAAAACTGCAGCATGACAAAAAACTGTGGATGCTGGTGGTAACTAATTTTTTAGCTCTAGATTTGGTAGATGGGAAATTTTGTCTGGGCTTCTCTGAGATGTTGGTGGTATCCTGGGTTCAATCATGCGTTTACATCCAGATGCCAGTTTAGCTGGAGGATGATTTGTCATGATGGTGGTAGTGGGGGTGTTGAGCTGGAGTGGCTCATTTCTTCCATGCATTAACATCAGCATCTAGCAGGGTTGCATGGCCTTGTTTACACAGTAGAGTTTTCCAAAAGCAGCAAGAGAGGACCAGCCTGACTGCTCAAGTTCTTTCCAAGTCTCTGCTTGGAAATCTCATTGACCAAACAAGTCATATGACCAAGCCCAGAGTTAGTCTGTAATGGGAACTAGACTTCATGTCTTGATAAAGGAAACTATGACATACTATGGACATTGTTACAATCTGCTACATACAGAGACTTGTAGAGCTGGAATTTATCAGGAGCACTTAAAGATGCATTTCCTTATCTAAGGGGTGCTGGAGAGATGACTCACCAGCTGTTTTGGAACATTTCCATTAATTACAAACTCATTACTTCAAGAAGCAGCCTTTTCACATTTAGAGCAAATATTTTTTGAAGTTCTAATTTTCCTTTTTTTCTAATTCTTACATGTGAGTCTAGTTTCTGAAGGGTCAGAATAAGCTTGCTCCTTTTTCCCATGAAACAACCTTTCAGATATTCTTAAAGAGCTATTACGCCTGTACTGAACTTTTTCTTCCCTAAGCTAAGTACTTTTTATTCTGTTAATTATTCCATGTAGGAGAGAGTTTCCTGTCCGTTTTGTCACAATCTCTGGATACATTCCAATTAACTTATCTTTCTAATTCACTTACAAAATGACAGAAAAAATAGTAGTAGTTTACAATAGATCTACTACTCAACATCCAGGGACTATTTTAACTTTGTAGTTTTGAAGGAATCATTGTGTAGGCTGTTGAAGTGAATAAAGTAGAAGTAAGTGTTGTAAAAAATGAGGTGTCTAGTAATGTCTTTCCAGGAACCCACTTTTAATAAACCCAAATTTCAATCTTCTCTCCACTGTAAATGGGAATCTGTGGGTACATGACATCCTGTTCTTTTGACCAAATGATCTCAGTGGGTTGGCTTCAGTGAAAAAAGGAAGTGTCCTATAAAAATAATTTATGAATTATATAACTTAGGAAGAATGAATTTATTTCCCCAAAGGATGTGCCACAACCTTCTTCAGAGTTCATTAAAAATATTTTGAGTCTCGGGTGCGCTGTAGGGGAGGCCGGTGGTGGCCGCAGCCGCAGTTTTGCCCCCGTACCCGGCGGAGGCGGCCACGGCGCCGACGGCCCAAGTATATAGAATTTAAGCATTCTCTCAGAAGTGTATGGTAGAGCTAAAGAAGACAGCCAACCAAGGGTCATCTGAAATTGTGATTGGCTAATAATCCCAGGACAAAGTTAGAGATCACTACTCAAAGCATAAGGCCTCTACAAAGATGTTTGATATAAAGGCTTGGGCTGAGTATGTTGTGGAATGGGCTGCAAAGGACCCATATGGCTTCCTTACAACAGTTATTCTGGCCCTAACTCCATTGTTTCTAGCAAGTGCTGTACTGTCTTGGAAATTGGCCAAGATGATCGAGGCCAGGGAAAAGGAGCAAAAGAAGAAACAAAAACGTCAAGAAAATATTGCAAAAGCTAAACGACTAAAAAAGGATTGAAGGAATGAACAGGCTCTGCAACCAGAGGAAAATCATCTGGAAAATTATGCAGCTTTGGAAGGACCCATTAAGGTTTCTTTTCAGATCTTGTGACAGTATTATTTAGTAAACGAAGTCTGAGCATGTGAAAGAATCATGTTAGTTCTCACCTGTACTATAGCAACTTTTAGGCTTCGGTGTAGAAGTCTGTTGACAGTTACTGTAAATTGGCATTTATTATGCTACAGATTCTTTATAACTGACTTAGTCATTTGCCTTTTTGCAGCATATGTACTACAGTGAAAACATCCTGTGGAGAAAAATGGCTTTAGATTATGGACTCTATTCAAATAATGGCTTAAAATGGGGTCCTGTTCTGGACAAAGGAGATTAAGAATGTAAAAATCAGAATTGTCCTGAGGTGAAAAGCATGCTTTGGCTTAAAAGAGATACAGTGTGTTAATCACATCTTTTATCATTATTACTTATTTCTTGAAATAGAATCATTTCTGGCTTCCTCAAAGCAAAGTATTATTCAACGAGTACTTCTATTTTCTGTATTTTTCTCATTTTAGCTTTTGAGATACTGGTAATTACCAGACATTCTGCATTTTTAAAAATCTAATTTTATAAAGAATTCTCTTATTATCTTGACCATGTAGAATACCACTTACTGGATATAACAATTTTTGTACTTATGAACACTGCCATTTTCTTAGAGATGACTTGAGTAGATCAACACTATGATTTAAAGCTTGGAGTAAAAATGCCAAACCTTGTAGTACCTTGGAACCAGTTCATTCTCACTTGTGCTATAAGTAGAAATGTGAAGTAGTTAAAATGTCTTATCAAATAATTTGCTGATTATATAATACCACTTTTGTTTTTCATTCCATTCTGTAATTCATGTGGTAGTGATGTCCTTTACTTTTTTGATCAAACAGGTTCATGGTGAAAATTAAAATTCAAATCTCTTTTAAGGAACTTTGAAAGAGTAACAGTTAAGTCATATTTCATAAATGGTAAAGAAAGGCTTAACAGTTGGAAAAAGTTTGTTTAGCATAGTATTAGTTGGGTGAAAAAGGTGTAAATCATGTCAAAATTAGAATGTGTTATAGTTAGAAATAAAGGGCTGAAGGATATTTCCTTCAGTTAAGTAGTATAACTGGAACTTTTTACTCTTTAACATGGCTTTTATAAATGCATGGTTAATAATTTTGTTGTCAGTAATTAATAGCTTATTAATGTTTTCCTCACCCCGATAATGAATCTTAAATTACAAAAAAATTGTCTAAAAGCTTTAACTTAAAAATGAAACTAGATATTGAAATAAATTTGATACATTTTTATAAAGAAAAAAAAAAATATTTTGTATTCAGAAAACCAATTTATGTGAATTTCAAGAATGTGTCATGCATATATTACATGAAATGAAGTATTCCAGTAATCATTAACATGATTTGAGACTGGAATCTCAATATGATGGATTTATTAATCAACTATTTAAGGAGCCAAATTCTCAATTCAACAATATCATTGAATGTACTCTATTATGTAAGGGCTACATCAAGATGAGTGTGAGGATGGGGTAGTGAGACAGGGGAAGCTGCAGTTTGAGTCTAGGTTGGGTTCATTGCTGGGATTTAGATATGCTTGAACATGACTAAAGATAAGGTGAGCTGGTAATGTGAACTTGGATTCCTTAATCCAGTAGGTTATAGACCAGATACATGAAACAGATTTTTCAAAGAGTGAAACAAACTTTACTGATCAGGAAAGTATAATTTAAAATTTGTTACAACATGTAACATGCTAAAATTTGTTACAACATTCTTATTACTTGATTAGAAGTGTTATTAAACCTAGTTCTTGCCATTAAATATAATGGCTATAAATTTATTATTTTCTTCTTCCAATCTCACTTAAAATTGGTATTATCTTAAGCTAGAAGTTAAATTAACAGATTTTCAAATTAGGGTCTCCTGTCATGGAAAACAGCCAAATTTTGGCCTTCAACAATGGCCTTAATACAACTAATCTGAGGACTCAGATATTCATATTTAGGCTTCTACAGATTTGAGCTATTAAAGATCTGAAGATGGACATTTTCCAGGAAATATAAGATTTTAAATACTGAAGGAAAGATGTACTGTCTGACTTCGTTTTTCACTTAAAAAAAAAAAGGGTAAAAGATACAGATACTCCAGGTCCTTACCTCTTTTTGACTAAACTACACCCAGAGCCTCCTAGTTTCTATTTGCAATCATATTTCCTTCAAATCCATGCCACAAGGTCAACAGTGTGATGTATTAAAAAAAAAATAACCCCATCACTCCATAGATAGCAATTTTATGTGATAAATACGGTGTTTCCCTGCAACACACACCAATTCAACAACAGAAGCTCTATTTTTTAAAAATCTGCCTCATAAACTAGAATTCTGTATAAATTTCACTAGATCAAAATTCTGAACTGATAAAAATAATTTGAACTATATTTTTTTACATAACAAACAAATTCACTGTGACCTGACTTCCTTCTCCCCCATCCCCAGCCTATATTTATTTCCCCAGCTTAATTGGCCTGCTGTGCTGTTGTTAGATTCTGTGTCTTTGTTCATTATAGCTCTGTCTGCTAAGCATGTTCCTTATACCCTTCCTCATCCAGCTAACTCTTTACTATACTTTAAGACTCACTTTAGGAGATATCTCTAGGGAATATTTTCTTATTCCTAAGGAGTATTAGGGACACCACCTCATTATTCTCAAAACATATTTCTGTGGCCAAACCTTTACAAAATGTTTTATGTTTCCTTAATAGGAAATCCCCTGAAATGTGCTAGAGTTCCAGGACAAATATAAATGAGACATCTTCTAGTGAGAGAGCCTGTAGTTTCTTCAGATTCTAGGAAAGGTCTAGGGCCCAGAAAAAGTTAAGTTCTGACTTGTTGACCTGTTTGACTCTCTGTCTTAAGAGTGAGAATAAAATTTTATTCTTCCCTATATCTTTCATGCCTAACAAAATTTCTATATTTGCACAGTGGGAGCATAATGCTGTTGAATGCGTAAAGAATTAAGTTATTATATTGTGATTCAATGAGTTTGTGGTTGTTCACACTGCTCGCCTTAGCCCAGCATTGCCAAAGAGTAATGCATTGCATAGTATGAATCACACCCATGATACCAAAGGCAGCATTTCTGTTTGGACCACATAGATGTCATTAGATGACTAGAAATATATTCTTCGGAGTAAAGTCTCTGCTGCTAAAAATAAACATTAACCAGTTGCTTCCTAAGTGGAATGGTCTCAGAGACAGCTTCTACCCGGGCTTCTGTCATATGGTACATTCAAGTCCATTTCCTCACCCTTCACCTCCATCCCCAGTGCCAAACCCCTCTGCCTAGTCTTTGCAGATGCAGAATTTGAGCAGGACTATATGTATGGGAAGGTGCCATATCCCCCTGCCTAGATAGCTCTTTCGGACTTTGACATTCTGCAACTCAGACGATGTAGCACATAAGGTTTCTCTATAAGGGACTATCTCCTGCAGTTCTGTTTTGTGATGCCCTAAACCTTAATGATATTTCTATCTGGTTTCTATCATCTTGGGAAGTACGTGTATGTGTGAAGTAACTACTTCACAGTGTGAAGTCTACTGTTTAGAGAACATCAGCTTCTAAACCCTGATCACTTTTTCCTGATTCTTTTTCCCGTTAACTCCTTTGGCTTAGAAATTGGTCCTTAAGTTATTACGCGTTTTGTTTCACACTGAGTAGCTGTATAAACTCTCTGTTTCGCATGCACCGGCTCTTTATATTTAAACCCAAAATTTGAAATTAAGATTAAAGGAAATAAATAGAATTAGAATGCAGAAGATAAAGAATAACATATTTGTTATCAAGCACCTCTTAAAAAGTCATGACTACAGATTTACCTAAGTATCACTAGCAGATTCAAAGTTGTTATTTGACTCCTGGTTCTTTGGGTTTTTTGTATACCCTGAAGATAATCCACATCTCATGGTCTCACATATGCTTGGATGGACGAAGGGGTGGAGGGAAGAATATAAGGTTAAAAAAATAATTGAAAACAAAAACACATGATTTAATATCAAATAATTACACCCCTATACAAGATAGTTTTCATATAATCTGCAACAACACTATAGAGTTTAGACACTTACCTCATATTATTGAAGAGGAAACTGAGTAGTTAAGTCTCACAACTGAGAATAGAGCCAAGATTTGCTGCAGATTCTCTGACTGCAATGCCTGGGCTCTTACCTCTTATATTGCACTATTCTTCTGGTGTTCTTTCTGGAGCTTTTGCACTGTTTCTAGAAATTAGAAGCTATTTGCTCTTTGATAATAAAGACTGAGACCCTATTGCTCAGTTCAACATTCAAATTATTGTAGCTTAGTCTAATTGAGCATTTATTATTTATTAGATATTTTTGCAAACGCTTTATGGATATTAACTCTTTTATTGCTCACAAGAACAGGTAGGGTACTGTTGTTGTTATATTTCAATTTTTCTGTTTAGAAAACTGAATCAGAGAGATTTGGAAACCCACTTAAGTTTACACGGCTAACTGGTTAGAGGCAGGGTTCAAACATACAGTTTAACTGCAGTCTAGTTTTGCTCTTGACTATGCTGCTTCCCTTGCGTACCTAATACGGTCTGGTATGTAGAATTTAGGGGGTATTGTCAGGCCAGCATTCCCTAATTTATTTCATTTGTCATGCTGGTGAGGTTTAGTGCTTCTGGGGTAAACACTCAGGTCAGACTAATAGCATTTTAGGTCCTGAAAAGACTGGGAAGTTTATTATTATCAAGGTACTAAACTTTACTACTAGAGGTAAGCAACAGAATATTCCGAATGGCCCTGCACAAGCTCAGAGCATGAAAGCATCCATGTATAAAATATGGCCCGCCAGCCATTTGAAGCCAATGCTGGTTTTTCATTTGGGTGCTCCCTGTCCTGGACACGGATTGTTTTGGCATGGTCGCAACACATGTCCACTTGGAAACTGGGAATAATGGCTTATTCTTTATCCTGTTAAATAAAAGAACCCCACATAAAAATACATACATGCACGCTGGCACGCGCACACACACAGAGGACTCTCTTCTCCAATTCCCATCTACCGCTGTTCTCCTTCCCTTGATTTGTTGAGTTGCCTGTATTCACTGCCCTTCCATTTTCGCCTCCCCGTTTTCTCTTGAGCATTCTTCAATCCCCACAAGTCCTCTGAAATTACTCTTATCACGGTCTCTAATGATCTTTACTTTGCTGAACATAATGATCAGCTCTCAGCACATCTAAGTTGATCTATGAATAGTTTAACTATACACCCCATTTTTCCTGAGACAATCCTAATTTGTGTCTATTGTGTTGTTTTAATGATTTATTACTTCCACTTAAACTGTCCAATTCATTTGAGCATTTGGATAATAAATTATATAGTCACTCTATCAGCAATCAGCAGTTTATGACCCAATCAGTCCTCCATGAAGCATTTTTTATACTTGTCTTCCAAGTCACCACAAGCCTTGTTTCTCCTTGTCTCTTTGATTTCTGTTTAATCTTTGCTGATTGCCCTGTGTATATCCATGTATTCAAATACTTTAGGATTCAGTAATTAGGACTCTTCTCTTTTCTACATATGCATTCACCCTAGATATTCTCATTTAATTTTGTGACTTTATGATTACTCCCAAATTTCTGCCTTTAATCCAGACTCCTCTCTATAACTCTAGAGCCTTATACCTAATGTTCTACTCTACATTTTCAGTTAAACGTTAGTAGACATCTCATGTGTAGTATATCAAAGCAAATGCTTATCACCACCTCACATCTTGTCCTTGTAAGCCTTCCCTCTGCAAACTTG